TATTATCAGAATGGGTTTTGTGGAGATTTTAGAAATTTCACAGATTGGTGCGGGGTCGTGGATGCGCACTGCTGAGGAGTCCCATACTAGGACGAAACGGCCGTCCAGCGCTTCCAGGTTTTCAATGGTGGTTTAGCTTCAACTGACTCATGATTTCAATCTGTGAAATTTCTAAAATCTCCACAAAACCCATTCTGATAATAATAATCACCTGCTCACTAGTGACTGACTTCAGGAGACACTTCTGGAGTTCTAGTGAGAAGTCGTTACCAGTGGAGTTCAACCAGGTCTGTTGTGAGATAGGAACTCACTGAGGACATTGGTGTACGGTGGCGCAACTTCGTGGATTGGTTGAAGTTAGACATTAACACCGTTGGATGCCGGCTCAGTGGTCTAATGTCTAAGTGCTCGCGCGCGAAGCCAGTAGGTCCTGGGTTCGAGCCCCGGGTGGTGCGGGGTCGTGGATGCGCACTGCTGAGGAGTCCCATACTAGGACGAAACGGCTGTCCAGTGCTTCCAGGTTTTCAATGGTGGTCTAGCTTCAACTGACTCATGATTTCAATCTGTGAAATTTTTATAATTATTAACTTTTTGCTAGTTTGTATGTCACCTTTTTGTTGAAGTGCAGTAACAACTCCATTTTTTCAGGTTTTTAATAAGATTAAAATTTTATACATTTCTGTTCGTTTGTTACTGTACAAACTGAAATCCCGGAAAAAATTGATCTGAGCATAATTAATATTGGTTAATGGATAGCTATTCTTTTTTCGAGTTTAATTCATTGTCTATGCTGGTTTAATCACGTTTTCACTGGTTAGTTGTTCAATCCGTAGTTGAGAACATATCCTTAGTAAAACAAAACACAGTTGATTTGATAATATTAGTGAAACTATTCAAATATGATACATGTGAAATACAGAAAATACTTCGATAATAATGTATTGACATTATGCAATCAGTTGACGTTTTTTCGATACGCATTATACAACAAAATCGATAATTAAAATTACTTGATTTAAATAAGACGGTTTGCAGTAAAAAAAGACAATATTCTATGTACTGATAATCTGACCAATCAACTTGTCTGGATATATATAGTGAAACACATCAGTTAACCAATATATCACCGAAAGAATTTTCTGAGACATGCAAAATAAAATTTATATCATATTAACACCACAAGTCTACGAAAATTTGACCTTTAAACTGAAATAAACGGCGATTAAAATAATATGAGACGAAATATACGAGACTTGAAATAATCGGACTACGCATATGATAAAACGTAATAGTCAACAAATAATGATTATTATCATAATGGGTTTTATGGAGATTTTAGTAATTTCAATAGTTGAAATCATGAGTCAATTGAAGCAAGACCACCATGGAAAACCTGGAAGCACTGGACGGTCGTTTCGTCCTAGTCTGGGAGTTCTGGTGAGAAGCTGTGACCAGTGGAGTTCAACCAGAGCTGTTCTGAGATAGCAGCTTACTGAAGATAACGGTGACGGTGGCGCAATTTCGTGGATTGGTTGAGGTTAGACATTAACACCGTCGGATGCCGTCTCAGTGGTCTAGTGTTTACGCGCTCGCGCGCGAGACCGTTAAGTCCTGGGTTCTAATCTCGCGGGATCGTGCATGTACACTGCTGACGAGTCCCACCATACGACGAAACGGCCATCCAGTGCTTCCAGGTTTTCATGGTGGTCTAGCTTCAATAAAATCATGATTTCAATTATTGAAATAATGATTAGCTTATAAAAACGAATTGGAGAGATAACAATGCAAGCATATTCGGCATGCGATTCTCCCCCTCGAAATACAAAATGCTGCTTCAGGATTGGGTTGCATCGACACCCGAACTAATGAAGTAAAGTAGTTGAGCGTGTCGACCGCTTCACTTATCTCGGAAGTCTCGTCAGCCCTTGTGGTCTGGTGTGTGACGAAATCTCAGCACGGATACAGAAGGCTCGACTAGCTTTTACCAACTTGTGTCATTTATGGCGTAGGCGAGATATCCGTCTATCAACCAAAGAACGTGTTTACTGCACAGCAGTTTGTTCCGTCCTACTTTATGGCAGTGAAACATGGCCGGTAAGAATAGAGGATATTCGTACGTTACTAGTATTTGATCATAGGTGTCTTCGAAATATTACTCGTATATCCTGGGATTACCGAGTAATTAATACAGTTGTTAGGAAACGGGTACTAGGTAAGGATGGTAAATCAATTGATGACGTAGTGAAGCTTCACCAGTTGAGATGGTTGGGACATGTGTTACGTATGCCCAACGACCGACTGTCTTGACGTGCGATGTTCAGTGGTATAGGAGTAAGTTGGGAGAAAGCTAGGGGCGGCCAGACCAAAACGTGGCACGAGTCCATGAAGTCACTGACAAGTGGACTGAGTCATGTTGGTAGGTGTAGACTGCCAGGTTGGGGACCGTGAGATGATATTAACCGATGGTTAGTGACCCTGAATGACATGGCTCAAAATCCTTTGCAATGGTGCAGGTGCATCTACTCTTTGTGTTCTCCCAAATTTTAATCTTTTGATTCCTCCGTGTCTCTTTTTTCTCTTTCCAAATTTATTTCATTGGATTATACTCTTTAAATAACATATTCGAAGCCGAATGTTTCCCCGATTACTACATATACTCTTACTACATCTACCATTACGGGATTTGAATAGACAACTGCATTTCTGTGTGCTAATGTGGTGTGGCAACTCGAACTGATGTACGTACGTACGAAGTTCTACATTGTTACTGACTGACTAGAGGGATTTCTTCAAATGTAGAGTATGAGATAATTATAATTGATGAAAAATCTTTAAAAAACGCCTTTCAATTACGGTTATACAGCCTCAAGGATGATGTCTTCAAAAAAATCTGTCTCTATCTCCTTTTCTATATCTTTCATTAAAACTTTCAACTTACTGTACACATAGACCTGAATTATTGTGTATTTTTCGATATGTTACAATGTTGAAACACAAAATTTATTTAAAATAATGTGGGAGATAACAAAAAAATGTGTTTATTATTAACTTTCTACCTAATGCTCAATTTATTTGAAACTATCAAATTCAACTTTGGCATTGATACCTATAAATAGATGTAATAATATATTCAGAATTAGCGTAAGTATTGGTTTATTAGCAAATCTAATAGACAATTATCGTAGTTAAAAATTCTGCTTTCATATATCGATTCATCTGTTATGTAATCATTCTGTACTATTTTTGACATATCCTTTTGACTATATTCTTGTATGCAATCTTTCTTTTATATATTACCACCATTAAATTAACTACTTCTATGAATTTGATGTTCATCTTTTTGTGCTAATGAGGTATGGCAACTTGGACCGATGCACATATGTGCCTGGTCCCACGTTGTAGCTGACTGACTGATTTTTAACATTTGAAACTTTTCCTGCAATGTAATCTAAATTTATTTACTTTTTATTTATTTATTTGAACACATATATGTATTGGTACAACGGGGCACCAGATACATATGCGCCACACAAATCACATTTGATTTGTGTGAGGGCTGTGATACTGCCTAGGCGCCCAAACCGAAGCAGGTGGTTTTCTTAGGGGCCACACCCAGAGCCTTCTACCTAAAGGTCTGATCCACAAGGCAGTGAAGCAACATTGGAAGATGCAGTCCCATGGTAGCCGGTGACCAACGATTGGTTAATACGCCATTTGTTCCCTCAGGATACTGGAGCCCATGTGCACCATTGATTTGGAATCAGGGTTTTCCAACTCCTCTAGGTGGGTCCTCCATATCCACCAACCCTGATAAAGCACCGGAAATTCGCTTTTCGCCTTCTCCATTTGGTAGACAACACTCACGCCGTGAGAAGTCAGTGATTAGGGTTTCCCTGGTAGTGGTTGTATGCACGTGGCCATGTGAGAGCATTTCGAGAGGGAGAGCGGATTCTCGACCGTACCAGGGTTGTTTACATCTGGACTATATAAATTAAACGAATAGAATATTGAATTATAGAATAAATTGCATCATGTTTTAAAAAAATCATATCTTATGTAACAAGAAATATATTCATACTTCTGAATTTAATTAATTACTTTAACTGTACATTTAATATTTATTTGTTATGTTCTTCGTTCACATTGTTGGTCGAAATGCTACATATACTCTGTGTGTTTTGTTACTGATGTTGATGTTCATCAGTTGAATGTTTTGATTCTATGATTAAAATCTATCGAGTAAACTGATACATTTAAAATTTGTTGTAATATGGAAAATAAAATATATAGAACTGACAGCTGTTGCTCTACCCTATCTAAAACAATCAGATTCTAAATATCTTACAACTTAGTAACTCAGTAACGTCATTATACATGACTCGAAATAGAAGCCAATAGGGATCCTGTTGTACTTTTCTGATGCAATCTGCAGAAAAGTCAAATGAACCTGTAGAAGTGAATAAGGTTTCTTTTGGTTTCATATTTCTAACTTTTATCTCTTAATAGATATTATTCGTTGACTGTCTGGATTTTCCCTCATCTATTTCCTTTACAATATTATTCATCCTATTTTTGTGTAGCACATTCATATTGTCATCTTATAGTACCAGATGATTTTGAATGTTATGGATAAATAAATAGTAAAATATTTAAGACTTATGCTAATCTATGTAGGATAACAGCTAAGAAAAAAGTGGGTTGATATTTATAGTGTGTTATTATCTTAAACATATTAGATGTTTCCCTTCTGAATTAGTGTCTTGTACTTATTGAAGCTCATCAACAAAGCACTTTTGTTGGCTAGAGGTAATTCATATTACATCAAAGATTCCAATTCACTCCACATAGAAGTCTAATTAAGTATATACTACATTCAGTAGATACTATAGTCGATTGTTTAATCGGAAAGTGATTTATCGAATCGTTGTATATTCATTAACCTTATTGTACTTCAGTCGAAAATGAAAAAAAATAATAATGTGGTGTTTTTCTATTCATAGGTTTATTGTACCTTGGAGGGAGTCAGTTGTTCTCTCGATGGAATGAAAAACAACCAATGAAAGCCTCATAGATGAATGTATATAACATTTCGTCTTTTGTAATGTTATTTTACTTCGAAAAAAGCGTAGTTTCGTTATTCAACTTTATTTTTGTTAAAATTAACGATGTTACCTAGTTTTTCTTTGAATAAGTGTATTCATACGAGACTTTTGATTGATATAACTGTCACATATATCTAGATGAATATTTGTCAATATTTGAACGACTAGTGTTATGGTCCATGTCCAGACAGAATGCAGTTTATGTCGTTATAGATCATGCAGAGTAACGTAACTGAGGAGAGTTGGTACAGGGAAAATAGAAGAAAAGGTATGCTGACGATCCATCGAGCGCACAAAATGTATTTACGTCTAATAAGGAAAACCATAGGCAAAAATCATTAATAACACAAAACTAAGACTAAGACAATCTAGAAATCGAAACTAGGAGCAGATAATTTATACAAATATTGGTCAATATATGAACGAATAGTTTGATATAATTTGAGTGTCAAGCATAGACAAGGTATTATTTATGTAAATTATATTTTAATTTGTCACAGCCATTGAAATTTAAATTATTCCAACTGATCGTTCAGAAAGCTTGTTTGAACTAAGAGTTAAGTAATTAAAAAAAATCGAAATTATCAAGGACTAAATAAAGTTTTCATGATGAAAAGTTTATCCAATCATCTCATAAGATATGAAAAATGTGAAACAGAATGAATGTAATTGCGTATATGCCTTTATGTTGTGAATAAATAAAATCTCTATCTACCATCATAGTCATGTTAATTGTTTTTGTTTATTATAAATTAACAGTACAAATAAAGAATTTAAATCATCAAAGTTTATGTAGAATGAGAAAATTTAATTGAGTAGTTGTGATGTTTAACATTCAAAAATATTTTCTTTGTTTAAAACAAATTACTAATTATATAAATTGAGTAGATAATAATCAAGTTCGGTTATTCGTTAATTAGCATTTGACAATCGGTAACTAATTGAATTACATCTTATGCTTAGGCTGTTTTGATTAGTTTACATTCACAGTGATTCTGCAGTTATTTTTTCTTTCTGTATGTCGAACCCTTCCTGTAGTATTTTGACTATTTTAAAGTTGATATTGTGTCCTGTTACTAATGAATAAAGTGCTATTGCTGATCTAATCTCGAGCTTATCGAGGTCAACCGGACATCGGGGAACATGTTTCGAACATTGTTCGTGTTTTTTAAACTGTATGTCCAGCTGCCTATATGTTTCTCCCTCATATGCTACATCGCATTCATGACAATTGATTTCATAGACAAGATCTTAATGTTCTTACTTTGGTGACATCTTTAACTTCGATAAACACCGACTTTATAGTATCACTAGTCCAGAAACAAATTTTTATTACGAGTCTGTCGGTGTAGAGATTGTTGAATTTCATTGAAATCATGAACCGATCTAAGTTAGAGCACAATTGAAGACCCAGAAGCATGGAATAACTCAGTAGTGTACATCCACAATCCCGCTCGTAGGAATCGGACAAAGGAAGTCTGATCCCGCGCGCGAACGGTTTACCTGTAGAAAACTAAGCTGATAAACAACGGTGTTATTATCTAATTTTAATCAGTCCAGGATACTGCGCGACCATCTCCCAATGTCTTCGATGAGTAACTGCTTCACATCTGACACGGTTTGGCTTCACCGGTCACGACTTTTCTCTATTAATTCAGAGATTTCCTCTCTATGTTAGTCACTAGTGAGCACATGATGGTTTTCAATATTGGGTTGTGGAGATTGTTAAATTTTGTTGTATTAAGGCTATTGAGAATTCTCTTAGTTTCTTGTGATGTTTCGGCGAGACTATAATTTATTGACGAACCAATCAGACATAAGATAACGAGTTGGGTTTTGGTGCGTAACTCACACATACATACGGTTAAATAGCGTTTTGGCATTATAGTCGATGTCAGTTCGTGATGAAAACCCCAAATTTCATTCCTTATCATCAATTGTAAATCATAATTCTAATTCCTCACACTGGTTTATAACCCTCATTTAGTCCTAGTTAGAAGATGAACATTCTCAAGGTCACTCTAGCGTCGCTCAAAGGTCGTCCATAAATTACAGTTTCACCGATGTTTCTACACAGTGTGTGTTGACAGCAGATTTTTCTGTTGTCTCGCTAAATACTCTAATTCAGTTTTTTCCAAAAAACTTTTGGAAAGAATGGTTTGTAGAACTTTTTATTGAGAATTTTCATGTTAATTATTACCAGGAATTATCTCAGATAGGCTAGGCGGAATAATGGAATTATTTAAATTTCAATCACTTAGATTATTTCAAACGTAATTTTTATACACAGTATAACTGGGATCGTTTTATGTTTATACTTGTAGATAATAAATTCTTATCTGTTTGACCAGCTTAAGTTGAACATGTGGTTTCATGAAACCCACTTAACTATTTAAAACGTAATGGGGTTGCTAAAGATTTTAATTATCCTGTTAGTTAGTCACTCAACTCATAAATCTTTAGTCGCATTTCTTTTCTTAAAGCCATCATGGGATGTAATGCTTGGTCTAATTCTTGTAATTATGTAGATCATGTCTTAAATAATATCGATGTATTCATAATGTTATGCTATCCTGTCTGGGTCACTGATGCATATTAGCTACACTCCAGGTTACTCATTGCTTCAGGCTTTACTCTGTTAAAAAGGTTCAATAAAAGTGGTAAGGGAAAAGCACGTACAATCTTTAGGTTAATTTTGTCATGATGTGTTCAGAGTAAGAATGAAACTGTATCTAATGATCTGTGACATTTTGTGTTAACAGCATTACTGTATACTCGCATAGAATCATTGTTTCTGAAATTTGAAAGCTTTACTTTGTCCCATGGTCTTACTTTGATGATGATAATCTACTTTAAAGCACAAAAAATGCTTCGAAGAAGAAAATTTATAATGTCACTCACTAGGCTGTGAAAGTACATGATCCTAATGATTCACGTTGTATTACATTTGCCTCACGAACGTATCGGTTGATATGGCTTTAAGGAAAGAAGGTTACTAATAGCCAACACACCTTTTAAGTAGTAATCCACTTTCATCATCACCGACTGATTCTGCACTTATCTCTACTATCTCGCACCAGCGGTTACAATACCCCCGATGAAATAATAACTTTATTCTACGGAATTTCATGCTGGTCTGCTAGATTTCTCAAAGTTAGAGTTCTAATGTGTTCATTAGACTGGGGATGTACGTTGTGTTTCTGAGAAGCGTATGATTATTCCAAGTGTGGATATACTGTTGACATTATGTATGCGGTTTGACAAGAATGCTGAGGTAATATTAAACTCTTTAGTATCTTTTTGTAGTTTGATCTTCTACAACCTAGTGAAGAAATTGATCATAAAGTCTCAGTGTAGCCTAGTGATATCTTCATTCTCACGTAAAGAAAGCTGCGTAGATGTTGAGATGTAATATTAGACGCAATTTATAGATTTTCACAGAAGTTGGCTAGCTAACGATTACGGTTATCAGATGAATAATTTTAAACAATGACTTGTTATTCTATAAGGAGGGACGAACTGATCATCCAATCGCCAATGAGCAATCATTCTAATCTATATATTCTCTAAAGCCGTATGATATGAGAGTATTTTGTGCATTTGCAGTATTGAATATGAGGTAGCCAGTAACGTTTGTATTCCAATACGTTACTGGGTTCTTGGTGCTATTTTTTCTTCAATATAGGCGTTTTCAGGTGCCACATTTGTTCTTTTTTGCTACGGTTTTATCCGCTTGTTCTAACAATCACTTTGCGAATGTAGGATATGTTCATAAAATGCGATGTTGATACTCGATTTTAGGTAATACTACGTACACTACTGTATGAAATTTCAGTAGTCTGATCTCGAAAATTCACATAAAATTCTCCCGAAACCTTCAAGTAGTGCCATCAACTGGATGTTCTTTCCTTTATGCATCGAGGATTTGCTGCCTTCAGTGAATACGTTTGCTTCTAAACTGGTTTTTAAAGTGAAAATTATTGTTAGTTTTTCGAGGTTTGTTTGTAACTCACCGCTTTGAGAACTTACGCACTGGATTACTAGGTGGAGCATATTCTGTATAAGCAAAAGAGTAGTATCATTCAGAATCTCATACTAGGTGTGATTTATCTCCCCTAATGAAGATTTGCACAAGGTTTTCAAATTGAAATAGTCATATTTTATTTCCGTATGTCAAAATACGATTTAGTAAATATTCATTTTTCCAATTATGAAAATTGAATTGGTCAGGTATACACCTCAACTATAAGTGCTAACTAAGAATATTCTTGAGAAGGTTGTGTTGTGATCGATAACCAGCTAAAAATAGTCCAGTATTGCTACAAAGGATTCTTGATGCAAATGCCTGTATAAACACAGGAATATATCGATAATGTAAAAAATCATTCATGTTAACAACATGATCCATTTATTTTATTGAGCATTCTAGATGTGTAAATTCTATTTTTCAGTATGTACTCTGAGTTTAGTAAATTGGACATATTGGTTAGTCTTGAGTTAATTAAAGTGTGAAGCGTTTATAAAAACGGATATTTTACTGTTAACTGATCATCCGCACTTTGTTAAAAGATTGCTGAGTCGGAAGAATATACAGATCCACTGCCCGTCCCAGAAAATGAATTAACTTATATAAATTTTGTAACACAACTTTCAAAATACATATACATAGCTCTTGTTTATTTACAGGTGAAATTTACAAATTTATCAAAAACCCCTTGGTCATAATCAGCTACAAGAGTTTATCCTTTTATATAAAATCCTATGTATTAATCACAAATTCTGTTCCCATTTAGCTATTGGAATCAATCATACTATAGTGTAGTAAATTGCGTTACATTCTTCGAAAAACATTTTGTTTGTTTAGTTGATGTGCAACCAAAATCGTTTTAAGTTTTGTCAATTCAATATGAGATTTAACGTTTCAACCTGATTCCCCTATGCGGTAAGATAATTAATACTATTTTATGAAATCAGCTGAACTGCTTGATGTGGTGGTGAATGAAGATGACTGTCGAACAGACCCAGTTGATACAATTAGCAGTTCGGAAGATATTCCCAAGAAATTATGCTGTTGAGAGCAAAGTGGTCTTCGTAATCTTATAGTATGTCACTTACTTAGTCATGGACACGAAGTGTAAGTAAGAAAAAACGAAGGATAACCGATGAAGAACCTAACTCTGTCTTATTAAAATACGCTGAATATAAGGCTTAAACCTTACCTCTATATTACTGAAGAGTCAATGGTTAGCCTTCCACTGGCTCGTCAACAGAAAACTAAACGCTTTAAAATTGAATTTCATTTTGATTGTTCATTTAACCAGTATTACAGCCTGGAAAGTTTAACTTACACTTTTTTCGAAACCTCCTAGATTACACTCTAATCATGTGGAACAATAGTATCAATAAACAAGAGTCGTTTAAGTGTCAGTATAGTTCATTCAGCAGTTAGGTTCATTTATGGAGAAAATGATACAAGCATATTTTTTTTTGAAATTCTTTCCAGAAGGTTGAACAGTTTGAAATAAGGAACATATTCAGAATGAATACACGGACTAGTCAGTGTACGCGTCTTGATAGTTTTACGCCTCTTCGGTACAAAATAAATTTGATTAGATATTTCACTTTCGAAAAGTAACTAGAAGGTGATTTATATGAGATTCAAATGTGAATAGAAAGCATCCGGAATTTATTTTTAAGGTTCATCATAGACGCGAATTCGATCACCCAAATATCAATGGTCTCACTTTTTAGCCTAATTTTAGCTGTTTTAAGTTAACTTCTAAAGTTGATTATTCAAAAGTGAATCCATATTTCAGTTTAATCATTGATACCTTTTAATTGTCTGAGGAAGAACTGTTACGACGACTAAACAATGTTCATTACACTAACTTACTAGTGAAGGATATAGCAGTGAACTACATTTCGTTAAACATGCAAAAAGAACGTTTCATTCAATAGAAATGTGTACAAAAATAATTCATGTCTTTCTACGATACAATATGTTTTTTTGAATAGAATAAATAATGTACAAAACATTTCAGTGATTTACAGTTTTCCATATTATTTGCGGGTTATTTGCTGTAGACTTAAGCATTTTATTAGAAAGTATAGTGTTAAATTGAACCGCAAGTTGCTAAGCTACTCAACTTTCCGTAGATGAGAGAGTATGGCTTCTAGTTGGTGGATTTGTTTAACATGAGAACATGCAAGATATTCAAAGTGGAAAAGATGTTCTTTATGAATAATCAACAGCTCTATTCCGTTATAGTGAGTTGGTAGGCTAGTGCATCAATATGTCATTTAGAATTTATATTGGTCGAATATAGACGTATTTATTGAAATAGCTCGGTGTGCTTATATGTTAGAGATACCTGTCATGTTTTATCAATGAAGCGATATCACCAAAATCCATATTGACTTTGAAGACTATTGACTAAAAGTGCTTATTATCGTTGACGCTTTTCTAAAATAGTCTAAAATGAGGAGTCAGAAAAGTAGTTGTTTAACTTCATATTTAGGATCCGTCAAATCAATATAGCCGTTCTACAAACTTTCTAGCCCAAATCAAATAAGAGGTTTCTGAACGTCAAGAAAAAATGAGTTCTACGTTATCTTAGAAGGTAGTATCGTGGAAAGAATCAACCATCCATAAAATAACAAAATATTTAAAACTGAAAACGAGAGTACCGTCTAAACGAATTTTGTAAAAGAACCGTGTCATGTAATAAAAGTCAATTATTTCAAGTCATTTGTAGGGAATTTTTTAATTCCTGTCTGTAATGTAATATGTTTTGCTGAACTTTTCCTATGCTAATTAAAATAATCAGTTGCAACAGAAATGATACTCATGGGAGGTTTCTTGGAATGAAGGATTTTGTGTGAAAACGTATGAATAAAGTAGAAGCGTATAAAAAAATCCAATCTATCTCTTATGGTTTAAACAATATAAGTTATAGAATTCTGGAATTAAAAATCTGCTGTCGAATAAAGTGTAAATGAATAATGAAGTAATAAATCGTCACCTACTGAGTTCGTTGAGATGCTGATTACGAATGCCCAACCACTAGTGACTTCCGGTGTAGGAGTAGGCTGGACGAAGTTAGAGGTTGCTTAATCATAAAAAAGCATCAGTTTATGAGTCTATTAGCTATTAAACTAAGAAATGTAGGTATATGCAAACTTCCTGGGATTAGTTCTCGTGATTTCCATAACCAATAATTTTAGACGTTGGGTGATATCTTTCGAAATCGATCTCACTACAGCAGCTGTATTAACTTTTTGTCTTTCATTAGATCCCAAGTCCCGAATTCATATACTCTTATCCTCTTTTGATAACCCATATATATGCTTTTGGATTTGGCTTGATTATTTCATCTCATTGTACTAATGTATTGTGACAATTTGAACTGATGCATATATATTCCAGGTCCTACATTGTATATGACTGACTGATTGATATTTCATATACTAATCTGTGATTTTATAAATGAAAAATCTATCTAACCTGTGTTGGTATTCTCATTCTTTTGTAAAATATTACAATTATCCAGAAAGAGCACATCAAAAACTTGAAAATAGTAAAAGCATTTAGTCGGACAGTTACTATGTTAACTTTAAATGACTTCATTAAGTGACTCACTTAGTATACCGTAATCTTTAATGAATTCAGAATTAGAAAGGAATGAATGAATGTTAGTAATCTGTTGGTATAATCTGTTATGTGGTAAATAATTACCTATCTAAGCTATGATACTGAAGATATACTGCTGTATGTAAATGAACTAAACGGCTTGAAATGACTTTCCAAAACCTAATCTTGATTATTTACTTTACAGAGTTTGATTTTAATACTAACCACTTAGATGTTTCAATAACGAATGATAATTAAAAATAAACGTAGGGTTAGCTTTTTTCAAATAAACTGTGTCGTGAAGTATCCTTATAATTTATTTGACTACAATACAATGGTTATTAAGTCTTCAAAAATAAATGTTTAGCTAACCGTAAGAAACTTTTATCTGCATATTGTTATACTACTCTTTCTTTTACATAAATAATACGTTCTTTGGAAGATTGTTTGAGTATAATTAATTGAGCGGACAGCATCTATTTTCTTCATAGTCAGTCGGGATTGTCCTTTTAAAGCATTTTAATGACTCACTATTCATCATTAAAATTTCATTAGTTCTTTGTGTTAAAACAAATTCTTTAGTGGCTTATATGAATCGTCTCTAAAATGATACTCCATAATCTGGTAGATAAAACATCAGGTGTATGAACAAGTCCAGATTATCAGAGCAAAGCAGATGGGTGGGGAAGTTAGTTACTTTTTAAAAGTTGTTATTTATAGCATTCATTTTTATATCAAGTACGAGTACCATTAACAACAACGACGTGTAGTTAAGTGTTAAATATTATAATTCTGTATGGTTCCTACTTCTTTTGAATAATATCAGCAATATATAAATATGTACACTGATGGTTTAAAAGTTGTCAGTCAATACATATTCTTACAAGGTTATCTTATTTCTTTCAACACACAGTTCGACGATAATCAGAATGATCCATTTGTTTTTGATCATAATCTAAGACTTCATGATCACTGAAGTATGATATGAATAACATAAACAATATTGTATATCATGATTAGGACACATTTGACATCTAATGATTTAAAATCATACTGGGAAACGAATCAAACATCTGGAAATGACTGACGGAGTACAAATTACATCTAGCTGACGAGTCCCATGTAGAACGAAATTGGCGTCACGGATCCCATTGCTAGCCACATTTCATATATTCTATACTGACTTAACAACAATTTACTGATAAATTATTGATGACTTTATTTACATTTGATAATCATGGTTTTAATTATTTCTGTGAAACCGCTGAAACCAGATTTTTAAATGAATCATTGGAGCTATTCAATTTCATTTACTGATATTTTCACAAATATTATTATGTATTTAATTGATTTTATGATCATCAAATGATTTTATCTTATTGATATCATCTATTCTTACAAACGAATGGATCTAGAGAAGCATACAATTATGCAATTCGACAATCAAAAACAGAGTTCACGTTTCACAAAGCTGTACAGGGCACCATTTACTATAAGTTCCTAATTCCAATTATGTAAGACCAATGCAATTAACCAGTAACCTATTTACATAACTTCAAGGACCAGCTATGACAAGTTTAAACATTCAACAAAGTATACGAACAAATAATAATATTAAAATCCATTATCTAAAATGAAATACATTAATGATATTGTATTAACATTGTTATCAGACTATGTTTCGTATTAGATTAAATACAACAATAATATTTACTACCACTCAAATGAAGTTTTCTTTAAACTCATATTTCACCTATTTCTGCAATTACAACATTGTTGATTACTAAACATCATAGTCTTTTCCATCTAAAATATGTTTAGCCAGACACATTAAGTTAAATAGTTTGATTGGTTAACTTGATCATATCGATTTAACAACCAGTTATGATTATGTCTATCGGTCTATGTATACAGAAGAAATAGGAAGAATATTAATATTAGAACCTAAGGAATAAACTCTGTTTACTATTTATTGTTTGATAAACATATAACATTAGCTAGGATATCACGTGTAATACAGTATCATTGAATTATTTTATTTTTGGGCGAAATTATGACTAATTATCATAAGAATGTGGGAATCCAACCATTGAAAACATTTTTAGCTCGTGCAATATATGATAATCTATCAGAAAATCCAACAGAATTAAATTTTTCACGTGGTGATTTAATCACAGTATTGGATAGAAATCCATCTGGTTTAAATGGTTGGTGGGTATGTAGTATTCGTGGTCAATTAGGAATTGCACCGGGTAATCGTCTAGAACTATTAGGCCTTATAAATGTAAGTACCATTTTATCTTTATAATTTTATTAGTTTAAAATATATTGTCCATGTGTAAATTTTCACACTTTGTTCCTCTTTCAGATGAACTAGTTAGACAAAACCATAACTGTGACACATTCAAACTGATTTATAAGTGTACTTGTTTTACGTTACTTCAGATTCTCCAATTCCATATGAAACAGTTTTAATGTGTTTGTCCATCATTAAAGCAATTGCAGTAATGGTTTTTTATCATATCATTACTTGTGGTCATATTATCGGCAAGGACTTTAAGGTTAGGTATCTCCTGTAAATAAAAATAAATTCTACTTTAGTTCACACTTGTTAACTATATTGCTCCCTATCAGCCTGGATTCAGCATAAGACACTATTGCACAAGCATGTATAAAAATGAACTTCGGATATCTCATATTTTCTCAAGTCGATAAAATGCACTTGGAATTCAAATGGACTAAATTCCAGATTCTGTCATCTTAAGACTAGTAAATTGCTAAGGAATTCTAGATTTTCCTGAGTACCTGTTTGAGTAGAATTAAAACTTTAGAGTTTGTAGTGAACTAGTTTCGTGAAAATATATGCCCGTCTACCTAAATGAACTCATTTTTCCCACTGCTATTGGTCTTCATCGTAAAATGATGTGGCGACTGTTTTCACTGTTTCAGTTTGCTAAATTTGAGTAGTGTCAGTCAAGATTTTTAACATAATAAATGGTCGGGAATGTGATTTGTTGTTCTTATGTCTATTATGTTTTCGTCAAATAGTACCTCGCTATGTCACTTAAAGGTGTTAATATAGTAGCGTCTAAACTGTATTTCAAGCAAATATTATTTTATTACAATGATTGAGCAAAATTATGTTTGTTCAAAACCGATATCTATACACTTAACTATACTTAGTCAATTATTTTCACGAAACTCTAGAGTTGACAACAGAGTTTGTTACTAATTATAACATTCACACTTCTTGTCATTATTGTCACTAGTTGAGCATCTGGTAGTAACAAAATATTATTATTCATTTTAACTGATAATTAGCATGTAGTCTAAAATCATTTATTATGAGGGATGCTTATAAAATGTTATTACACTTTGTAGAAAAGAGAACAACCAACCCTTTCATTAGGAAGCTTTAAATGATTTTTATTATTTCTGTGGTATTTATTAAAAATTACCTACATTAATAATGAGATTTGTTAACTAATATATGTATATAAAAACTTCCTTCTGACTTCTGTTGGTTTGTTGATTGTTTGTTACCCCATTACTTCAACTAAACAGATGGCGTTGAATGATTGTCGTATTTGTTGAATCTTCAAAAATATAAATACTTAAATTGTATTGGGTTTCGTGTGATCCGAGATTATATTATCGGAGTTGTAATATATTCTTTGTATACTCTATGTATATATTCTTTGTATGTAGAACAAAGTTAATTGCGCAGTTAACTGTATGAACATGTCGCCATTTGTCTTCTCCATTATCTTTGACGCTAGTCATATTGAAATATGTCGGGAATTCTCATTCTCCTTTCAGCCATCAAACATTCAAGTATACTTTCATCTGTGTTGAGGATGTAAGTTTGAGAGAGGACGGCGCCTGTATCAGATCAAATTTTGTCTTAACCCCTTATTCTTATTCAGACAATTTGAATTTCACTTTATATGAAGCGGTTCTGTTGTGAAACATTCTTTGTGATTTTAAAAATGTTTCTGAATAATTTCAATATTATCGAAGTCAGTCTTGTAGCCTGATATTATAGGATGTAGACTTATGGTCTAAGATTTTCCAAGTTCTTTTGTATTTTTTGTTAGTCAAACAGAAACACCATCATGTTCATCTATGTTGACCTTTGCTTCACGAGAAGTGTTTTCGATGTATGGTGAGTCACGTCCCAAAAATTTTGTTTTGTTGACACACTGGTTTGATGATCGATTTTGTTTTCAAACTCAGAATGACTATAGTATAATATTTTCGATTAATATCTTGTCTGATATGTTATCTATTGTTTTAAAATTGTTCTTTTCATTTGTTGAGATGTTCCTTGGATTTTCAATCCCTTTAATTCTATGAATTCCTCCACTTATCGTATTTTGCAAATATTGTGAAAATGTAATTTCCGTTCTTCAACTAAATTCTGAATGGATTTCGATGTATAAGGTGTAGTAATCTTTGATATACATACATTAATATGAGTATGCTTGAGCCATAAATATTATTATGCTTGAGGCAAAAAACGTTCTTATACAACATTGATTTCCCTTTTGTGTATACTATTAGGATCCTGATAGTGACTAAATCGTATCCCAAAGGCTTTAAATAGCTAATATTTAAAAGCATTTCAGAGATTATGTTCTTAAATGTTTTAGTTGAAGAAAATTCGGCGAAACTATAATTTATGGAAGAGTCAATCAAAAGCGTTGCAGGGATTTCAAGGTCATGGCGCCAATTTCAGTACCTGATACTCACGCATGATCGGTTCACAGCGGATTTTAGATAAAACGTGATAATTAAGCAACTACAATAAATGAGACTATTAAGAAGTTCCTTTATTTGTGATTGTGGTAATCAAATGACTTGTGGACCTTGTGTGATGATGTTGTTGTAATATGTGTTGGAGGAAGATTTCTGCTAGAATAGAATTTTTTGCTCTATCCAGATTGGGACTAAGGTAAATTATGACAGTTCTTGCGAACTGGATAATAAAAGTACCAAAATCACTGGCTATTATGGAGCCATATAGATGATTTCCTCTGCTGTATTCATGACGATTTTAAAAACTCTAAACCTCTCTCTAACCTTGACAAGTTTTGAACTATGTAAAAGAAGTTTATCCACTTTAATTCTTTGGTTTTGTATAATATATTTTTTACTCTAAACTGTTTACTAATTGGCTTATATTTCTCAAGCTCACATGCGATTCGTTCAAAGGCTGTCCATAATTTATAGTCTCGCCGAAAATTCTAATGCACTTCACCAGTTTATCATAATTTCAATCAGCTTCAGTCTTGTGATATCCTTAAATATTAAATATCATGACAACGGAGATCGCAGTGGTTATTCTAGTCTAGAATTGTACTTCAGTTTGAGTAGAAGAAAAATACCCAAAATAGAAACGGTTACACTAAAAAATATCGTGAATACTCTATTAAAATAAATAACTCTAATCTACATTGCTATTGATTACATACCAAAGCTATTAAGAGATATTGTAGTGAACAAGAACACCAGTGGGGACAATCGAATGTACTTGACACGAAATTACAGAACATCTCACTAAAATCTTAGAAGCATATAGTAAATAGTTAATTTGCAAAATATCAATCCTTTTGCAACTATCAATCCATTGTCTCAGATTTCATTGTTCATACATTTTCTTGCCAATTGCGTTCCGTTCCTGTTCTTTCCTTATCGATCTACTGAAAAACATTCTATGCCTGTCCACCGTTATATACTACTTATGTGGATATAAGTAACCTACACCACAATATATCTGTAACAAATATGATTAGATTCTTATTTTAATTCAATACTGATTATTTACAACTACTTATTAAACCTACTATTTACATCTAATTTTACATAGAACGATTAGATTTTAATTACGTAAATAGGAAATTTTATTTTATATGAAGCGTAAAAACAAAAACTACTGATTTACATACTGATTAAAAGAGGAAAAAAATAACCTAAGTTTTAACTCTAATATATTTTCTTCTATAATATATATTTAAATGGTTTTTACTGTTGATTAATAATTTACCACTGTAATATTTGTCAAAAGGAAAAAAACCCAACTAAAAGAAACAAACGTGTAGTGCATCAATGAACCATAAATAAATAATTATTATTTATAAATGATTATGTAAAAATTAATACTTTACAAAACCGAATAATTAACCAAAAAAACAATTATTGAATTAAAACATTAAGTTTTCAGGTTTAATTAGATTTTCAATGAAATTGTAAAAAAATAAATTCAAAAAAAGTTAAATCTTGATTGTTTACGCTTGTCATCATTCAAAAAAGGGGCGATAAACGCCTGTCACACCTCGTGAAGGAGCATAGGCCGCTCACCAGCATTATCCATCCAACCCTGTCCTAGGCAATGCTTTCCAGCTCCTTCCAGTCATTTTTCATACTTTTCATATCTGCTTCGATTTCCCAACGTAATGTGTTCTTTGGTCTTCCTCTTTTCCGCCTTCCTTCAGGATTCCAAGTTGGGGCTTGTCTCGTGATGCAATTTGATGAGTTTCGTTGTGTATGTCCTATCCATTTCCATCGTCTTTTCCTAATTTCTTCTTCAGCTGGAAGCTGGTTTGTTCTCTCCCACAAAAGGCTGTTGCTGATGGTATTCAACCAATGGTGGCTGAGTATCTTGCGTGGACAGGTATTTATAAATACTTGTACCTTATTGATGGTGGTTGTTGTAGTTCTCGAAGTTTCAGCTCCATACAGTAGAACTGCCTTGACGTTGGTATTGAAGATTCTCACTTTGATGTTGGTTGAAAGTTGTTTTGAGTTCCATCTGTTCTTCAACTGTAGGAATGCTGTCCTTGCTTTGTCAATCCTCGCCTTTACGTCTGCATCTGAACCTCCTTGTTCATCGATAATTCTTCTTAGGTATTTGAAGGATTCTACATCTTCCAGAGTTTTGCCATCAAGAGTGATTGGATTGCTGTTCTCCGTTTTGAATTCGAGGACCTTGGTTTTCCCCTTGTGTATGTTGAGGCCCACTGATGCAGAGACTGCTGCTACACTAACTGTCTTTGTCTGCATTTGTTCATGTGTATGCGATAGGAATGCTAGGTCATCTGCGAAGTCCAAATCATCTAATTGATTCTGAGCTGTTCATTGTATCCGTGTTTTCCCTCAGATGTCGAGGTCTTCATAATCCAGTCGACCACCAGAAGAAAGAGGAAGGGAGAGAGTAGACAGCCTTGTCTGACTCCGGTCCTTACTTGGAATGCGTCTGTCAGCTGTCCTCCATGCACGACCTTGCACTGTAGTCCATCATATGAGTTCCGGATAATATTGACAATCTTCTCAGGAACTCCGTAGTGTCGAAGAGGTTTCCGTAATGTTCTCCTATCTACACTGTCAAACGCCTTTTCATAATCAATGAAGTTGATATACAGTGACGAGTTCCACTCAACTGATTGTTTGACGATGATCCTTAGTGTCGCGATTCGGTCTGTGCACGAACGATCCTTATGGAATCCAGCTTGTTGATCTCGAAGTTGGGCGTCTACTGCATCTTTCATCCGGTTCAGCAACACTCTGTTGAAGACCTTCCCTGATATTGACAGCAGTGTGTTGTCTCTGTAGTTTTCACATTTGCTCAGATCTCCTTTCTCTGAAAATCTTGATGAGGTGTCCTTCTTTCCAGTCCATCGGCTTTTCTAATAATTCATTATATTCTTGTCTATTTCTCAATCATTTTAATATCTTTAATCAGTCAGTTATTTAGATTAATGTTAAGGTTAGTTTTACTTTTACTTCTGTTGAAATTATTTGATCGTGTTTGCTTTTTCTTTTTTTTTCAAAAAGTTGTCTGGAAACAGTAATTACCATGACAACTCTCCAGTACACTACATTATAGATATTTTAGGTTATTTGTAATTATTTGAAAATTAACTCCATCTTTTGATACAGTCCGATCAATAGGCTAGTTCAGAAATACTGAATAGTTGAATTATTTCATTTCACTATTTTACGTAATAAAGAAACTTAAAAAAAGTTATTGTTACAAGTCAGTATTATTCATTTTAGAATTATAAAAAACAAAAAATAATCATAATGAATAGCATTAACTACTTAAAAGAAAATACATATGTTATGAACTGTTCAATTTTACGTAAGTGAGATGAATAAAATGTACATTGTAATTAATTTGTTTGGTTAATATTATTGATCCAGTTAAAAAAGAAATGAAGTAAACTAATTTGCATGTAATTATGTCAATTTCTTTGTCTTATATACCTACTTTATTACTTACTTACATACGCATTTTACTCCAAAGAAATTACGGTTCTTCAACCAACACTGTCCTGGGCTTTCTTTTCCGGTTCTTTTCAAATCTATCTAAGTTATACTACCTTTGAAAATCTGTCTAAGTATGAGACTATTTAGCAGTGTGCATCCTCTATCTTTCATGCGGATCTCGAACCCAAGATCTTCGGTCTGCTGTGCGAACGTTTAAACTCCAAACCTTCATCGAACTGTGTGAATGTCTAACGCCAACCAATATATGATATTCATTCTTTTGATATCTGCCTCTAATTCCTTGTGAAACATATTCTTCATTTTGTTTAGTTTCTTTTTTCTGTTTGATCAAAATGAAAAAGAGAGATCCTCAAATTTTTTATCATGAAGTGTACTCTTTCATTTCATTACATATCAATAATAACTCTAAAGACATTTTTTTATTACTCTTCCTTTTCTATGTTACAATTATTTCTAATGAACTATCTCCACATTTTCCAGAACTATTATTCTTAATCCACTATATGAAAACTATATTATCTTTAGAATGAATTTAATATGACTACCACACTGTATAACTCAACACGATTTTATCAGATAGTTTTAAGATAAAAATGTGTGATGGTATGACAACTCTTATGTTGTAGTTTAGGATGTATTTCCAATAATCATAACTAAATACTTCCAGATTAATTATCGTCATTATCATTATTGGTGACGAACAATCACATTTAACTGTTAAGCGTTGAAATTAGGGTTGATTTTTAAATGTTTCAAAGCTTTAAAGAAACAACATTATCAACTGTTTTATTTGTAAAGAAATATTCATTTGATGTTTGTGATAGAAAACAACTACAAATTAAATTTTAAACAGTTAAATTCATAAGTCGATCTAAATTAGACCACCTCTGAAAACCTGGAAGCCGTCTCGTTCTATTATGGAACTTCTCAGCAGTGCACATTTGCGATTCCGCGTGTGGAACTCGAACTCAGAACCTTCGGTCTATCGCGCGAACGCTTACACTCTAAACCTTTGAGCCGCCATCTAAAGGTGCTGGGTTTGAGTCCAGCATGTGGGATCGTGGATGAGCACTGCTAAGGAGTCTCATACTGGGACGAAACGATCATCCCGCACTTCCAGATTTTCAAAGGTGGTATAGCTTAGATAGACTCAGAAATTCAATTATTAGAAACTACTTTTAACTCAACAAACCCCCATTCTGATACATATTGAATCATTACTTTAAATTATTGATTAATTTATTGAATATAAGGTACTTTGTATTTATTCGTTCATTTGCGATTTCTTTGTTCTTTCATTTAGAATAATAAAGAACAAAATAATTCTGATGTCTATGATGATCCAACAGGATGGTGCATACCGAATGACAACAACGACAGTAATTCAAACAATAGTAAAAATAGTATTGTATGCACAAAAAAGTCTACACAATTTAATCCACTTGAAGAAAATCATCTTTCCATGAATCAAAACTCATGTTCAGTATATGAAAATGTAGATTATTATACAAAGTATCCTAGTTCTGTTGGTTTGACAGATAGTGGAAATTTCTCTAATCAGTCAAGTGATGTATCATTCAGTGTACATTCAATAAATGATGGAATAGTTGATCAGAGAATGAATCGAGAAAATTCATCTGAAGATTATGACGTAGGTTAAATCAATGATTCTATTTGCAAATAAAAGTAGATTCTGTTTCGTCCTCTGAATAATGAAAATTTTGTGAAAAAAACCATATTTTTAACAATCATTGTAGCCATTTAGTATATTTGGTGTGTGGCTAAGCGTGAAATCTGTGTTGATATTCACACCAACATTCGAACGTAGAACCTTTCTCCCCGAATACCTAACTCGTCAGCCACTGAGCCGCTGAATTCAGGTAGCTACTAATTTGTTCAACGGGTATGAAGTTATTAGTAAGGGTTTTTAATTTTTATTTATTGATATTCAGAAATGCGATTGACTAGTCTCTGTTACTATAGGTACATCCTGAACAGATTACATTGATATAGTGTTATATTATAAGTTTTGGTACATCTAAAATGCGGCTAGTAGTGAAGTCCAGGGATTAAGTTCTGTCCAATTTTCTGTCCTATTGTAGCATTATCAGTTGTATTTGCATTTCCATAATTAGGTTATGATAAGCGAAATTGGTTAACAGTTATGAAAAGACTCGATATTTGCAAGAAAATAAAAATTCGACAAGTGTATTTTACAAACTGACTCCATACTACTTTTACATTTTTTCTTTTCTAAATATAAAGCTTATCAACTTTGTACTTCCCTAGTTTGGAATGGAATTTTGACTACTCATAAGTTCGAATTTTTTTAACCTTGAAGTCATGAACTGATCTTACCTAAACTATCATTGAAAACCTAGAATCACTGAACGGCCGTTGAATGCCGGCTCATTGGTTTAAAGGTTGAGCGTTCGCGCTTGATTTGATTCCCGCATGTGAAGTTATGGATACATATTTCTGACGAGTCCCGTAATAGAACACAAAAATGTACCCCTCCCCCAGTGCTTCAATGTTTTTAGTGATGGTTTAGTTAAGACGAAATCGTGATTTAAAACTGAAAATCCTACAGTCTTCACAAATCCCCCCATATTGATGATTTGTTTTTCACATTGCGTCTTGGTTTGGATATCCAATCAAAAAACCAATAAGACTTCTACATGCTATCGTCGGTGTGGCGGACTTGAATGAAGGTTAAACATAGTAACCAAGGCACCGATATGAAAGTACGTGAATCCACTTCTAAATTATAAGTCAGTGATAGTAAAAACTAAATCATCCAATAGTAACGAAATCCATATTAAGTTATTCCGGTCTATTATGTTCAACTATCCAATGCCAAATACATTATACATCTTAGTTACTAAGGTTCAGGTTATTTTAAAATTCCTTCTGAGATCGACTTATGCCTAATGAATCTGAGTAGTTAACATACACATTCAAGGATTTCATTTGAAATATAATTTATTCATAAACACTTCATTACTGAATTAATATTCAGACGAAAAAGTAAGTTAATTATTGTCAGTCTCAATCAAATCAGTTATTTAATAAATTACTACTATTGTAATGAACGAGAAAACAAGTGGAGACAATCGAATGTATTTGAATACAAAATTACCGAACATCTTAGTAAAATCTGAAAACCATATAGTAAATTCTTCAGTTGCAAAATATCAATCAATCGTCTAAGACTTCATTATTCTTTCGTTTACACACCAATCATTCTATGTTCTCGTTCTCTTTTCTTTAATCTTCTTAACCTTCACTTTCGATTGATGATACATACTACTTATATCTATCGACACCAGTAGTACACACTACACCAACTAGTGTGAGTAATTAGAAAGAAAAATTGGGTTTTTTTCTTTCCAAACAACTGAAACCATTTAAAATGTAAAGTGATAAAAACAAGTAAATATGGGTTATTTGTTTTGTTTTATTACATAACTACTTTTGTGTTAAGATGCATTGTAAAATATTCAACCTTCACTGCAAAGATTTTGTTTTATTGACCAGAAATACAAAAGAAATTCATCCAGTTTAAACAAAACCTAATACTTTTGGCTTCTAATAAAGAATTTATCTTTTAAAATGTTTATGCTGATTATTCTTTTTATTCTGTGATCAATTAAAGTGTAAATGCAAGAAAATCAAAGCGCAAATGACCGTTGAAGAGAATAGTTTCGTAATTCACTTTTCGATTGAAGTAATTGTTCCTTGTACTGACGTCCAGAATTATCTATGTTGTTTGTTTAGCAATGTATGCTCGTATAAATGTGTTGTTACAGATGTTTACCCAGAAATTCTGGTTAATTGAAATTATACAAGTGCATAAAATAAAAATTGCCTTAAACTAACGTCCTCGAAATTCCATCTAAATAAGTCCGATAATTATTGATCAATTTGTTCACTGCTCCAAATTTATTGAATTGTTCTCTTTTAAATGATAACAATTTATACAAAAGCAAAGTCAACATAGAAATATGCTCACAATTACCAAGAAAGTCAATGTGTTTAACACGTAGTGAAAGATCGAAATTGTCAGGGGGAATATTTGTCATAGTAGACAGAAAATTGATTGATTTCAAAAGCGCTAAATGTTTCCTAAGTACCACTACATGCCACACAATGTGTGAATAACAATTTATCGATTTATTTATTACAATTTATTTTGTCTTGTATTTCACGTGTATTATTTTACCAGGCATAAACAAAATTTTTCCAAGTCATTTGCTGTCTGTTTACTCGAGTTGCATAGGTTCAATATACTGGATACTGTGAGCAATCATCAAACAGTCATTTCACATGGGTCCAGATAGTCAACTCCATAAATATAGATTGAAATCATGGGTCAGGTATAAAAATAGACTAGTTATGAATTTGTATCTTGTAAGATGATGAAAACTTATTATATGTTGTTCATTCGATGAACATACAGATTTGTTCGCTTCCATACTTTGAAAACTGACAAATCTATTGATTATAAAAGGTAAAATTAGTTGTAACTGGATTTTCTTTAATCCCTAGCCGTTGATCTTCTTGGTAAATTTATCTGACCTCCTATTCTGTGCTTGGTTTGATATTATCATGTACACCACTATTCAGCTTATCAGATGAATATAGTCGAGTGTGCTGCCATCACTAAATCTAGAATACAATGTCTGTACATTTTTCAAAGTTAATCATCTATGACGTGTTGACTCCCCGGAACGCCAACGTACAATTTGTCAAAAAAATTTCACGAATACTGAGACATCTAGTAGATTCAGCCAAAAACTCCATCAAATCCCTAACACAATTCCTGGACCAAATTAAGGATAGTCAAACCAACAACGACGAACTCATGATATCCTTCGACGTAACAGCACTGTTCACCTTAATTGAACCACAGTTAGCAAAAGAAACTATGTCCCTGCTACTCAAATCTCACCAAATACACGAAGCTTCAAATTCAATGTCTACTGCAACTCATCGATTTATGCCTAACAACATATTTCAATTCAACAACAAAGTCTACGAACAAACAAAAGAGACACCAATGGGATCACCAATATCAGAAGTTAATCATCCATGAAACACCAGTAGCATAAATATTTAGTTGCGAAATGTTTGGAATGAAATGTATTAATGATCTTATGTTTTTACTGCCCACATGACCAATAGTGTAAACATCTTTCGCATATTATTCATACATTAGGCATTAATCATTAGCTTACACTAAATAATGCCATGTGTAAATATAGATGAAATTTGTTTCATATACCAATAGGGATCTGTGGTACCATAAGCTATCACATGCATCAACATAGAAAACTATAAATTTATTAAAGTAAAATTTGTTTATGTTAGGCTGTTTCTTTAAATTATAAATCATCAGAAATAAAGATTGAAGAAAAAAATAGGATAATTTGGCCCTTCACTACTTAAGTAATCACTCTATTTCCTATCTTGGTTGAATTTATGGGATATAAGTAACCTTATCAATTACAAAAACACATGGCAAATTAAATTTACTTTCTTTACTATAGACTTTTACTGATGACGAAATGTGGACTAACGTAAAGACTTCAAACTAAAATACAGGTTTACAAAAAATAATCTAATAGAATAACTCCGCCTGGTTAGAGACCCTGAATGACATGACTCAAAATCGTCTGCAATGGCGTAGGTGCATTCACTCTTTGTGTTCTCCCGAATTTTAACCTCCTGAATTCTCCTTGTCTCATTTTTTCTCTTTCCAAATTTGTTTCACTGGATTATACTCTTTAAATAACATCTCCAAACCCTAATCTTTCCGATTACTACTTATACTCTTACCGCCTCTACCACTACGGGATTTGAATGGACCACTGCACCTCTGTGCTAATGTGGTGCGGCAACTCGAACTGATGTACGTACGTACGAAGTTCTACGTTGTTACTGACTGAATGACTGAATCTAATAAAATAATCATTCATTTAAACAATAAATGTTTACTATCATATTCTAACTGATTACTTTTTCAAGGTTTTACATTATTCTGGGCATTTTGTATAACATAAAAATACTTGTTATACATAAACCAGTTAACTGAACTTAACTTTCATTGTGCTGATAAAAAAATGCTTACCTATCAATTTTTTTTTATTTTTCTTCCATTTAATGCAAGCAATTGTTACTAGGAGATTATTTAGTGACTTTTTAAATCATGACATTTATACTAACTTTAATTTCATTTTCAAGATGAATTGAATTATGACAATTAATTATAAATGGTAAATGATTGAAATTGCATAGTTTGATTCAAATGACATTCCAAATGATTGTGTTTATTATATATATATATATATATATATATATATATATATATATATATATATATATATATATATATATATATATATATATATATATATATAGCACTGTCAAACTAGTCAACTTTTGTATTCGTTAGACCAGTCAAAAGATAAACAAACAAACATGTAATTGATTCATTCAAACGAAGTTGTTCAACTAATATTATAAATATTATTTTATCATATAATTTGTTTGTTTCTATGTGATTAAATAATGTTTATTATAATTAAACAGTTTCATGATTATTGAAACATCCTATGATATTTACTAAATGTCCTGTCTTCATTTAAAACATGTTTTTTTCAATAAACTTAATCAATTCAATGAAAATATTCATCATAAAATGAATGGTAGTTGAGCTTTATAAAAGAACAGTTATGTAGTATTCATTCTTTTTTTTGGGGGGGGGAGTACTAATTTGAGAAGGATACTTAGTTTATATGCTTTGTAAACTTGTAGCTATAAATCAAGTTGATGTGTGTAAACTTTTAAATATTTACAGTTACTTTCTGATGGAACTAGTTAAAGAGTATTGGTGTTGTAAATATCGATTGGATCATTTTATGTTATAGTGAATTGTTTCGGTCAAGCATTGGATAAATTTAATTCACTCAGTTCAAATATTTCACTATTTGATAATTACTAGCGTTTAACATTGTTACTTAACTTAATTTTATATGGTATTTCGAGGTGTCAATCAACACGTTTATTTAGTGTTACGTTTTGTTTACCATAACAGTGAATGTTATTCTTAGTCAATGATTACATATATGATCAATCTTACTAACTTACTTATGCCTGTTATTACTCCCAATAGAGCATAGACCGTCGATCAGCATTCTCCAACTCACTCTGTCCTAGGCCTTCCTTTCCGGTTCTATCCAATTTTTTTTCATTTTCCTCATGTTTGTCTCCATTTCTTGGTGTAATGTGTTCTTTGGTTTTCTTCTTTTCCTTCGATCTTGAGGATTTTATGTGAAGGCTTGCTTTGTGACGCAGTTATATGACCAATCAAATTACCTTTAATATCTGTCACTTTGACTCAGTTTTCATATATCTTTACTAAAATCTAAATTCATGAACATTACAATTTGTTATCGAATAATGTAATAATACTCAGTATTTGTATATTTTGTTTATCTTTTCTAATTATATTTATTTTAAATATTTATACGTGAATTTTAGGATTTACCATCAAGTATACCAGAAGAATTTCGTGATACAAATCATTCAATTGAATATGAATCAACTAATACAAATTCTTATAAAAATGAAACAACATTAAATAATTTACATGATACTATGAATTCTTCTAAGCAATTAAACAATAAAATCTTGTTTTCTTTAAATACACAACATAAATCTACTGATAATATAATAAATTCAGTAGATAATTTAAATTCTAAAAAAATTTCAGAAAATATTATTCATTCATTTAATGAAATTAATAATGATAAACAATTTAAATCATCATTAGAATTAACACCAATAATGTTTAGAACAATGAAAGAATTTACAGATTATTGGTTACCAATACAAGAACGTATACATGATAAATGTTTAAATTTAATAAAATTATTACATCAACATGATATAATCCATTCAATTCATTTAATAACTTCATTAATTACACAATTAAATAATGAATTTATAATTATGAGTCAATTATGTACAGTTATGATTGGTCTTTCTAAACAAACAATAATAATAAATAATAATTTAACACAAAAATTTATTATATATCGTTATAATATGGAAAATTTAGCTGAATTATTTATTAAATTATCAAAAAATATTAATATTATAGATATCAATAATCAATATCAAATAAATAATAAACAATCGATTAATACCACCTATTCAATTAATAATAATAATGGTAACAATAATAATAATAGTAACAATATTAATATTAATAGTAATGATAATAATAGTAATAATAATAATAGTGAAGAGAGTAAAACTTTACTTGAACAAACAATTCAACAATTACTTACTGAAATTAATTTATTTTATACAACCATTTTAATAAATTCTAAACTATTATTTAATAATTTAATGAATAAATCTATTGAATCAAATGAAAAATATTTTTCTTTATTAAAACAACAAACAAATATATTTAATAAATTAAGTAGATCAATTTCTTCATTTCATACATCATCTTTAAATTCATCATTACAATTATCCAATAATGAATCAAAATATTTATCAAAATCATATGAATTTATTGATCATTTAACTAATTTAAATCAAAAAAATTTGGTGGGAAATTTAAATTTTCAAAAATTATCACAATTTTGTTTAAATTCATTAAATATTATTGATAATTATTTAAATTATTTAATACAATTTCAAAATGTTACAATATTATATTTTAAAAATTTTAAAAATAATAATTTTTTAATACAATTTATAATAGAACAAACTAAATTAGTTATGGAATCATGTAGTCAATTAATACGTTATATTATGTCTATATGTAATGGATTTAAATCATTATCATCTATATATAATATCAATGATGATTATAATACAAATATATTAATATTAAAAAAATTAGAGTATATGACAGATAAACTTTGTGAATCATTAAAAAGTTTAATAATACTTACTAAAGAAATTGCAAAATTTCTTACAAATGACTATGAAATTATAACATCTTATAAAATGATTCCTATACCTGGTCCATTATTACAACGTTTAAATGGTGCATTGAAATCAATTCAAAATTCAATTAAAACAATTCATGAATTAATAAAAGAATAATTATCAATATTTATTTTATGTATTGATTAGAAAAGATAAGCGGTCTAGAAATCCTGATAGAATATATTCATGAATGAAGAATATTTGAGTGAAAAATTGTATTCAATAACTTTATCATCAGTCTCTATACAGTTATAAGTTCATAATTATGATAGTTTACAAAGGTCAAAAATAAGGCATGTATTCATGAATTTGACAATGTTTACTTTGGCCCACGGCTGGATCACCGAATAACTAAACTGAATATTATAAACATATTACCCTCTCTTCTTTTTAATTACCTCTATCTTAATCTTCACATCCATCATCGTCAACTCGTTTATCGTAATTACCTTAATACCCCCCCCCACTTATTACATATTATATTCACACCAATAATATTATTATTATTATCTCAATTGACAAGATGAAATTCTCCTACTATGCATTTTATTTATACAGTTTTTTTGGCATTTTCATTTTTGCTATAATACTATTCTACTTACTGTGACTGGACACTTTACTCCAAATCATTCTGACCTTTATTGAATGACCTATCTAATTTACAAATAATACAAGTTTGAAGTATATATATATATATATATATATATATATATATATATATATATATATATATATATATATATATATATATAATGTCGTAACAGATGCAAACGTTCACCATTTTTAACACATCACATTGTCAAATTCATTAATGCATGCCTTATTTTTGACCTTTGTAAAATATCACGATGATTATGGACTTATATAACTGTAGAGCCTGATGATGAAGTTATTGAATACAATTTTTCACTCAAATATTCTTCATTTAAGAATAGATTAGGTTGATGAAATTTCATTCATGAATTCATCTAGTTTTTACTCAATTTATTCATTTTGAGCTTATAACATTTGTAAATTTCTTATCATTCATGAATAACATGTCTAAATGATACATATATACATAAACATAATACCATACATTATCATTCATTAAGCAGTTATTTGCATTTGATCTTATTGTGTATACAATTTAATAGGCGATTTATATCATGAATTGTAATTGATTATGCATTTCCATTCCTTGTTTTTGTTTTACTTCCTTGTACTATTTGTATTTAAAAAAAAGAACAATCATTAGTGAATATAAATGAGTTAGTTTTCATTTTGTTGTCAATTGATTTTACTTTATTTTTTTTATTATGACAACTTTTCTTCATACTAACAAACACATTTTATATTGAAAGTCGGTAGTTGTATTTAAACCCGATTCGTCGGTATTCTATCATTATTAATTTGTCTTATTATGTATTGGGATTTGGACGTATATTCGATTCTTAACTATTATGATGCTTGAGCATGAGTTAGTCTTTGGAATTTTATTGAACATTGAGATTAGATGTAATTAAATGGCTTACAAAATTCACTCTTGTCACATGGGTTTTTTTTCACAAATTAATTTCAAACATCATGATTTTAGTGGTGTATAAAACAGTTTTGTTCAAAATAGACTTTTTAGTTAGACGTCATAATGTATAAAGTCAGTCAAAACAGAAGAACTATAGTAATGAAGGTGACATTGTATGAGTACTTGGCTATATCACAGATTGATTTAAGTTGAAATGTTAAATGATCGGATCATGACTCAGTAGTCGACAGATGTCTCATTCTTCATCAGACGTGTTATTCATTAGCTTAATGCTCTGTGGTCTTGACAGCACACTTTTTGAGAGTCCTCAAGTAGTCCATGTTGTGTGTTTAATATCCCCTGGTTTTGTAGACAGTTCTCCGACTCACTTGAGTTCCTACTAAAAGTTCTTTTTAATTTACCTATAATCTCCTTTGAACCATCTTTGTGAATAATAGCAAAATCATAAAAACATATTTTCTCCTCAATATGTTCTACATTTCACTCTTGTTCTTTAAGAATCATTAAAGTGTCTTTCATAAAGTGAAAATGAAATCCCAGTTAGTTAACACTCCCAAAGGTCCTATTTCCTCATATTTAATTAATTTGTGAAGATTGTTAATAACTTAAACTTGATGATCGGGATTTCCAGAAATTTGTACACCCAGGGATACTGTGAAATTCTAAATGCTTAAAAATTTTTAACCAAGTCAACAGGCTTTGTTAGCTGAACGAGTGTGGTTGCGTATATACTTCTGTTTATGGGTCACCTGTAAAATATTTTATATTAGTTATTAATTTAAGTTTCTTCGTGAATGTAATGAATCATATCGATCAGTGTCTGTTAGTTTACCAACTTTTTAGTCCCACTGAACGGTTGTACAAGAACTTGTAATCGTCCCAAGGCACGTCATCACTATTTACTTGTCTCCTAACTGCTTTCTGGGTATTTATGGAAACGTTTTTATCGTAAACTATGAAAAGCATGACAGAGTTCCAAATATACTGATGTAGTCACGGTAGTAAGTTATTTTACTTCACAAATAACACGGGGGGTTCGAGTTGGAGCTCAGTAAAATGATAACAGTGGTCTCCTCCTACATTTTCTTTTGGTTACTCAAATATGCATTGTGGAAGCGAACTCAAAACGTGTAAAAAAGATTCATCTTAAGAATATCCTACATTAACTCAAATAGTAGTGTTTTATGTATATCTGACCAAACTTTTACAGAATATCGTCAAAGGGAAAGTAACTAAACCGCAGAAAAGATTCCCATATCCTACTCAAGGGGGATGATGGTAATTTGTGCTGCTAAATTTTGTATCGATCTTACCACGGGTACAAAAGTGACAGCCTGTAACGCTCATTAAAAGTCCAGAGAATCTCTAAGTTAAATACTGATTAAATGGTTTATGTTCATTTCAGTTATCTCAAGGAGTGTCGATCAGTGAAATCAGAAATTTTAATATAGACACTGACGTTAGTTCATAATCACTGAAGATTCAGGATCATTAGAGACAGTAATTTCAAAATGTAAGGGTTATTGATGTTCTAAAATTGTGACACGAACTTATTCATTAGTGAGGATGAACTGTCATCTGAATTATGAAAACCATAAGACAATCTAAATTACTGGTTTTATTGTTTGATGAGATACATCCAAACTCTTCTTGTATTTTAAATAATATAATTAGTATGATGTTCTGTAGAAGTGGGGTTCAAACAATATGTCTTTTCACCTAATATTGAATTCCATTTTGATTTACTACTCGAAACCTACTTATGTTTATTAATTGTCCCATCTTTGCGTCTAGTTATTTATTAAGATGCCCCTATTTGTAAAGAAGCATATTTTTAGTGCGTCTTGGTTGCTAATCCCAGTTCTTGATAAGACCTGCCTTTAGAAGGCATCACTAAAAACTGAAAGTGAAAAAAACCGTTAGCTATGCTAAAGAATTCACTTACGGTAGTCTTTGTAAAAGAATTCAAAATTTGATCGACATTGACAACTCGAAAATGTTCATAAACTTCACTAAAGCATCTAGGCTTTATATTTCGGATATTTCGTTTGCATTATTTGAACTACTGGTTAGTAGCATAAATATGTTTAAAAAATAAATAATTCAATCTCAATGAGTTATTTCATATGTACTATAACTACACCTGTAAAAATTCTAATACAACTGTCAGTCCTAATCCTGAGTAAATCAGGAGGGTTGTGTGTAGGGTCAGCATCTCCATCACGTAGAAAAAATCTTGCTAAGAAAACACCAACCAGAATAAACAATTAAAGCATATAAACTCTACCCTCCAATTTGAAGGAAGAATTATGGCGCCTCATAATGAAAGTTGAGATGATTCGGAAGTCACAAGGCCGATTCCCTTTCTAACAATCAGAGCAAAAATTAATGTAAATACACGGAATTTTCGGACAGTGTGGCTGCTCCAATCTGGTCACGAAGAAGAAAATGCTCCACACACGCAGGTAGTTGCTCTGATGTTATCCAAAGATCGCGTGAACACTTATGGGATAGGAATCTCATAGATCTAGGCCCATCAAAGCATTCTTCAAAACGAAGTAGGATGGAATTACAATGAATGTTATCCAACGTTATGCACACATTAATGATAGCAATGGTGATGATAAATACCAGTTCTACGAGAGACAGCAATCGATCATATTGAAGTGTTCATCAAGGGGTTTGACCATCTTGATGGGAGATCTAAACTTCGAAGTTGAAATGGACAACAAGTGATATGAAGATATCATGTGATGATATGGATTGACTGGGGGAAGGGAACGAGAATAGTGGGAGATTTGCAAATGTATGTTTATTCAACGAAATGGTTATAGGTGGCACAATATTCCCACACAAACACATACACAAGGCAATATGTGTCTCACCGGATCACACTACACAGAACCAGATCGATCATATTTGTAACAATAAAAAGTACCGAAGGTCAGTGGAGGATGTGATAACGAGGAGGTAGAGGAGCTGACATAGCCTCAGATCACCACCTAGTTGTGTCCAAGATGAAACTGAAGTTAAAGAAGCACCGGACAACTGTATGAACAGCAGTACAAACTTTCAGTACAGTCTTCCTATGAGATACTGACAAACCCAAACAGTTCAAGATAACTCTCAACAGCAGGTTCCAAGCTTTACAGAATCTACTTGAAGAAACCACTATGGAGGACAACTGGAAAGGGATCGAAGAAGCATTAACTTCAACGTGTCAGGAAGTGTTGGGCCGCAACAAGCATCATCATAAGGAATGGATCTCTACGGAAACCGTGGGTAAGGTTCAAGAAAGTAAGAACAAGAAGACAGTAATTAACGACAGTGGAACAAGAACAGAGAAAGTCGAGATATAGGCCAAATACACTGAAGCAAACAGGCAAGTGAAGAAGAGTATTGGAGCCGACAATTAGAAATACGTGGAAGAGCTAGAAACGACGGCGGGAAAAGCTGTAAGAGAAAGAAATATTAAACAAATATATGAAACGACGAAGAAACCGGAAGGGAAATATAGTAAACCAGATAGACCGTCCAAGGACAAAGAGTGCAAGTCACCCACTGCGATTCAAGAACAGCAGAACAGGTAAGT